TCCATGTACAGAATTGTTCAATGGTACTGAGTCTTGATTAATCATTTAATAATGCTAGCTTTATTATCTTTCATTTATCAAGTGTCATCTCTTTGAACTTAAAACTAAGATCTGTTATATCATCTTCTGGTTGAAATTACTTCTGACTTGAATTACTGGGCCAGAACTTTTCCAGGGATGATTGCTTGAGCTGTGAAGTGACGAGGAAGCATTTTCTCAGTTTTCTGTGTTTGGCAGGGACTGTTGGATGGAGTGATCCACCAATTTCAACCAAGTCCACAATCTCAGAGGTTGGGATTTTTCCCTGAAGTTACTTGTCTCAGTATGGTTTTATTGACCCAAAGTGCTAACGCTACAGAAATTGAATGTAGCCTGTTAATTCAGACCTTTGCTGCAACTTTCCCAAAATGCATTTCATCCTCTTTGTCAATACTCCTGCTCCTGCCACATGGTGTATTTAGATATACTCTACTACCAGCTCTTCTGGTACCTAGCATTTCTGGCCACATCATTTCTAAATTCTTTTTTTTAAGATTTTATTTGTTTATTTGAGAGAGAGCATGAAAGAGAGAGAGAGAGAGCACACCAGCGGAAAGAGAGGCAGAGGGAGAGGGAGAAGCAGGCTTCCTGCCGAGCAGGGAGCCCGATGCGGGGCTTGATCCCAGGACCCTGGGATCATGACCTGAGCCAAAGGCAGACCCTTAACGACTGAGCCACCCAGGCGCCCCTCTAAATTCTTTAATGAAACCATTCATCTCTTCTTCTGTGTCTCACAGACAGCTTAACCTACTGAAGTTTTCTCCCATTGTTTAAAGCTTTTGGTTCCCTTCAGGATCTTTTATTTATTATAGATGTTACTAATTTAAAAAAAAATTCCTAAAAAGTAGAGGACAGTTTGTAAGAGATGTTAGGTATGTGCGTCTCTGGATTATCCTAGCTACTTTTATTACTAGGCTTACAGTTCATTTCTAGATATATGGATATGATTCGATCTATTTTTGGCTCTTACTAGCTTTTTGAACTTTGACAGTATCTATCCTCTCCAATATTAAATTTCCTCATCTAAAAGATGAAAGCACAGTCATAATAATTTTAATTCTCATGAGGAATAAATGAGGTAATTTATACAGAGATCTCGGTGCACAATTCCTGGAGTAAAAATAGGGCTCCGTAAATGTTAGTTTTAAATGATAACGATGATTATGATGATAATAATAATAATTATAAACCTGAAATTGAACAGCTATATATAGCCAGGGAAGCAGTTTAATATGAAGCCAAGAATTTTTAAGTGGAATCAAAAAGAAACATTCTAATTGAAGTCTTCTTGAAGGTTGAGATAAATTGATAGCGATTAGGATATTATGAGAAAGATATCAGTTTTTTCTAGTTGATTAGTATATTTTGCTAAAAAGGTATTTGCTACATGAATCATATTCTTTTAATCCATGTGACTTGAACATAAGATGCATGGATGCCCACTTGTCATGTTTCTTAATAGGGAGACACTTAAGGGGAGGCAGAAAGATGGTTAGGGGGCTCCTCTTTGATTTACAGTGACCTTTAAAAGTATGTCAGATGGGGACGTCCAAGTATTCTTTAGGTCTTTGAGTGGCATGATTTGACATACTTGGTGTGCGTGTGTGTGTGTGTGTGCATGCATGCACACACATGCCCATGCACACGTGCACAAGACAGAGCGAGACAGAGAGACAGAGACAGAGAGAGACGTTTGAGAACAATTGTGTCCTGAGACATTTGAGAGCAACTGTGTCCTTACTTACCTAGCTGTCATGGCCCCATGGTGGACATTATAACTTTGTTAAACCATGGTCTGTTTGATTATTATATATTACTTTAAATAAACGTTGATCCTTAAGCAATTGATTTAATAAAGATTGGGTGGCAAGCTTGCTCCTTTTCCCTTTTTTGTTCATTTGGTCTCCCTGTGGCTGGTTTTCTTGAAGCCTCAATGATTGCGGGGCATGTCATCACATCTCTTAGTTTCTTTTTCTTTAAAACCAGCAAGTGGTACTAGATAATCTCAGAGACCGCTCACATCTTTCTAGTTCTGTAATTCTGCGATTTTTACGGTAATATCTCAAGTGTGACTCTCAGGCTTGCAACTTGTACCCCGCAGTTGTTTGTCTGTCCACTTGTTAGTGAGGCCTTTTTTTTTCTTTCTTTTTTTAAGATTCTATTTATTTATTTGTCAGAGAGAGAGAGAGAGAAGGCACACAAGCAGGGGGAGTGGCAGGCAGAGAGAGAAGCAGGCTCCTCACTGAGTAGGGAGCCCGATGCGGGGCTCGTTCCCCGGACCCTGGGATCATGATCTGAGCCAAAGGCAGACGCTTAACCGTCTGAGCCACCCAGGTGTCCCAGTGAGGACTTTTTCTTCACTTGGAAATTAACACTTACCTTGCCTCTGAGCTAACAGGAGCCTCTAACTTATAAAGCTAACTTGTCCGAAATGCTTTAGTTTATTGGAAGCGTGATGCACTGTCACTTTGCACAGTGTAAGTGTGGTGCCTCACAGCCCTTGTGCATTTGTACTCCCATGGTGGGTTCCCTTCATGCTAATGAGCGGTTGCTTGGTGTTATTCAGATTTAAACACTTATACCCTTATTATAGCCCAGCCTGTTTTCTGAAAAGTGAGTGATAGTCGAACAAGACATAATTATTCTTTAAAATTTATTTCTTTTTTAAAATCAGCACAGTGTAAAGCCTTAACCGTGTTGTATCTTTCCTTTTTTGTGCCACTCTGGCCTTTTCCCCTAATGACTTTCTCATGAATGCCCACTTCTTTTCACTGCTATTTATATTTGTTGACGGTTTTGATTTTCTTAGAGTTTTATTGTATCATTTCTTTGTTTCAGATGTCATGTTCTCATGAGAAAAGCAAACATACCCAACGGTGACCTGGGACTGTGCCTCTGTTTCTGGAACTCAGGAAAGCTTTTGCTTCCTGTCATCAGTGGGTTTTGGAGCATCTGTTTATATTCTCCTAGATTCCTTTCTCTTGAGTAGACAGACCCATAAAAGAGAGGTGTTTGGAAGCTTGAGGTGGTCATAAATGAATATGAATCATGCTCTGAATAAGAAATTCTTTGTAACTTCTTAATAGCAATAGTAAGAACTATATTGTATGGATTTGGAGCCTGTCATTTTTAGTGACTAAACATGCAGACATATAAAACCCCTTTTATTTGGTCGTGGCTTGCAATGTAGCTCTTGAAGAACTAGTGAAGAGAACAGTAATGGACACAGAACACTTTTCATCTGGTACCAGTTAAAACAGCACTAATTAGCATTATACTGAATCATTTGGCCTCTCTGGACCTCCATTTCATCATTTGTGGAATGAAGTAGTAGGTCTAGAGTAGGCTTTCTCACCCTCACCCTCAAGACCACTAAGACTTGGGCAATGGGAGTCATGCGGGGGTCATGTGGGGGTTTAAATTGTGCATGGGGGCACAAATGTAGTCATCAAGGTTGTTGTGCGTGGGGGTGGTGTGGGGGTTGTTCTGTGTATTGGAGGATGTCTAGAAGCATCCCTGCCCCCTACCCACCAGATCAGTAGCACTCCCTTAGTTGTGACAACCAAAAATGTCCCCTAGGGAACAAAATTGCCCCTGTGGAGAATTACTGGTCTAGAATCACATTTTTAAAAGTATACAACAAAATGATATGAATCCAAGAGTTTGTGCACATAATTATCAAAGTCTTATGACAAAATTTCTTCTGTAGAGTGACATAAGTGAAGAACAAAATTTATTTCACTTTTACTTCTTTAGAAGCCTTCCTTGATAAGGTTTAAATACTGCTGTAAATTTGCTCCTTTTGTTAAAATTTGAGGACTCAGTTATCAAAGTGTGAAAGAAGACACAGGAGAGAGATCTTTGAGTGAAAAATGCTTTATGTATATAGATTAACACATAGAGTTGGGATGGGCTATGCTATTGGAGGGGTAGTTACTCAACCTAACCATTAAAGATAAGTTCTGGCATGTACAGACATTCCAGAATATTGTCAAATGGATGGATGATGAATAGATGGATAAATGAATGATGGATCTGTTACTAACTCATGTGACTTTGGGAACAGTATTTCATCAGTGACAAAAATGGTAGTCATGGAAGCCAAGGAAAGAGGCCACTACGGAGCCCCTTTCATTCTTCCATGGCTTCCATGGGTCCCTCCTGGGTCCCTGACTGCCTCTGTTCTTCCACAGCATTTCCTTCTACTCCCCCACCCTTTTATATTTGTTGCCTGAATTGATTGTATTAGAGCTTTTTATATTGTATCATTTCTTTAAATCAGACATCATGATCTTACAAGAAAACAAAACCCACCGCGTTGACTGTGAAGCCACATCTGGGCATTCTGAAGGAAGGACTGGATCGTTCCTCTCTGGTTGTTTGAATCAAACTAGTGATATGATTCCTGATCTTCTTTGAAAATCACTTCTGACTCAATTTCTAGAGTCCCATATCTTTCTTTGATAATTTATTCCAGAACAATTAAAGTTTTTGGTTGGAGGGACCTGTGTCGACAACTGTGATATATGGATTTTGTTTGTGCTCTCCTAATGGTGTTACTGATCTGGCACAGAAGAGTAGTTCCTCTCTTTTCTAGTTAAAGAAATCGAGGCCTGGATTTGTTAAGACAGAGAGCTTAATGTCTATAATAAGTGAGTAGTTATATGGGGGTTAGAACTGCTGAGCCCAGATCTGTAGCACCAGGATGGAAGGTAGATTCAAGGCATGATAGATAATTTGATACAGAAGTCTTGAATTTATAGTACTGGAAGATTGAAACATGTTTCTTTATGCTTTGTTTAAAAGTCATGATAATTATCCAAGGTGGTTACTTTACAGTACCAAAGCTTTGATTTAATGGGACTAGCTTCTCTAAACTGGACAAATTACTTAATATCGAGAACTTTCTTTAGAGTTTTATTTTAGTAAATGTTGCTCATGACCTGCTTTTTTCTCTCTAGACCTTCTCTTACCATGCCCCACAGGAACCTGACAGGAAGCTGCAATGTTAATTGCGGTTGTAAAATACATGAGTATGAGCCAGTCTGTGGATCAGATGGAATTACATACTTTAACCCTTGTCTGGCTGGCTGTGTTAACAGTGGTAATCTTAGCACTGGGGTGAGTACATATCACAAGTTCCTGTACTGTTGTTGATCCAACATCCTGTGACAAGGACATGTTAGGATTCATATGCTAACATGTGGCTTCAGTCCCTCTTTTCAAGAAACTTCAAATAACCTACAAAATACGTCCTGACAAAGAGCCAGAGGATAGAGAATTATGCAATGCTATCATTTTTTTTTCCTCTAGGGATGATTGCAGAATGTGGGTGCAGTGACTTAGTTCCACATCAGTCCTCTCCCACTTTACATTCTGTGCCAACTCAGTGAAACATGATAAGGTTGAGGGCTAGGCCTCCCATTTCTTGCTCTGCCAGGGCCCTTGCGATGCATTTGAAGGTCAAGATGACCACATTTTGGTGCCGATAGAAGAGAATAGGAGAGCACCTTCCCTGATCAGAGTCTGTGAAGATGGGCAATGGCCATTTTTCATAGACTGTCAGTTCAAGCTTCCTTCCTCCTTCCTTCCTTCCTTCCTTCCTTCCTTCCGTCCTTCCTTCCTTCCTTCCTTCTTCATTCTCTCCCTCCCTCTCTCTGTCTTTCTTTCTTTCTATCTTTCAACTTTCAGAGTAAAGATATTTCTGTCAGTTCAAGAATAGGCTATTTTGAGAATTCCCTTCCCTGTGAATTATAAATAGGCTGTAATACTGTGGGAGGTTTTCATATTCTACTCAGTTCTTTACTGAGCCTGGTTTCATTCTTTGCATAAGAACAGATTGTAGGAGGCTGCTTTAATTAAAAAGGTTAAGGTGCGTTGACTTGTATGTGTAGGTGTTAAGGGACTAGACCGTTGACTGTATGTTTTGGGATTGTCATTTGATTTCTGAGTTTTAAGCTATACTGATAAATGGAGAAATCCTGTTGCTGGCTACCCATTATATAATTGGGGTCACCACACACACCAGTGTGTGACCAAGTTGGAAGAGACAACAAGATCTGATTTCAGTGGCTAAGTCCTTCCCCGGAAGTGATCGACGGAGTCCTCTAATGCACAGCCCTCCTTCCTAAAAAGAGGCCAGCAGTCCCTGGAGGACAGATGGACGAATGGCACCCCATCCTCATATTTGTTGCTACTGCTTCTCTAAGTGGCTGAGAGCTCACAATGGCAGTGAGTTCAGCTGATGTCTGACAACATAACAGGCAGAAAGATTAATTGGTTGCTTTTATTTGAAATACCTTTTTAGTTCCTTGAATTAGCTTTTTTCAAACGAAACAGCCAATGATATATATGTTCCCTGGTCCTGGCCCTGGAGTCATCATGGCTGCATCATGAATTCTCTGCATTTATTTAACAAATATTTACTTTAGGTCCTACACTGCATCCAGGCAGGCTGATGCTAGGTGCTCTAGTAGGCACAAATAAACAGAAAGCTTAGTTCCTGTGGTTTTTTTTTTTTTTTTAAGATTTTATTTATTTATTTGAGAAAGCGTGAGAGAGAGAGAGCATGAGCAGGGGGAGGGCAGAGGGAGTGGGAGAGGGAGAAGCAGACTCCCTGCTGAGCAAGGAGCCCGATGTGGGACTTGATCCCAGGACACTGGGATCATGACCTGAGCCGAAGGCAGACACTTAACCGACTGAGCCACCCAGGTGCCCTTAGTTCCTGTTTTTGAGGGGCTTCTCTAATCAGAAAGCCCAAGAATTATAACAGCATAGTTGTGACCAAAATGAGCATATGGAATGTGAACGCTCTAGAACAGTGTTGAAAGCTCCTTATAAAAGTTTAGGTTTAAACGATTTGGCTAAGCAGACACTGTTGGATGCACACTTTGGATCCTTACTGTTAGCAATGAGGCTGTATTTTCAGTTAAATATTATGTATATATTTTTAAATTTAAATTCAATTAGCCAACACATCATTAGTTTTCGATGTATAGAGTTCAGTGATTCATCAGTTGCATATAACACCCAGTGCTCATCCCATCACGTGCCCTCCTTAATGCCCATCACCCAGTTACCCCATCTGCCCACCCACCTCCCCTCCAGCAACCCTCAGTTTGTTTCCTAGACTTAAGAGTCTCTCATGGTTTGTTTCCCTCTCTGATTTCTTCCCGTTCAGCTTTCCCTCCCTTCCCCTATGATCCTCTGTGCTGTTTCTCATATTCCACATATGAGTGAAGCCATATGATAACTGGCTTTCTCTGATTGACTTATTTCGCTCAGCAAAACATTATGCATATTTAAATACTAGAGCTTTGTTAGGGCTTTTAACTTTGTCTTAATTTTCCTATGCTTTGGCTTGGCTCACAACCGATCTTTGTTATCCCTTAGATAAGGAATTACACAGAATGCACGTGTGTCCAAAGCCGGCAAGTGATCACTCCACCTACTGTCGGGCAGCGCAGTCAGCTCCGTGTGGTTATTGTCAAAACCTATCTCAATGAGAACGGCTATGCTGTGTCTGGGAAGTGCAAACGGGCCTGCAATACCCTTATCCCATTCTTAATTTTTCTCTTCATTGTCACCTTCATCACAGCATGTGCCCAACCATCAGCCATCATAGTAACACTCAGGTGAGAACCGCACTCAACTTCCGGGTGGGTTATACACTCGGAATTGCCAGAGTACACGTTCCAGGCTGGCACTGATGTGGTAGTGTGGAGGGGAAAGCAAAGTCAGACGGTGCAGGGAAGCGCTCAGACATTTGCTTATTGAATTTAAGAGAAGTGTTTTCCCATGTCAGGAAGAGAAAGGAAGGTTGCAACGTTTCATACCCCAGAACTTTCTTTATTCAGATGGGTTCTAGTCCTGTAGTTTATAGTGAAACTTCTTTGGGGTGCCTTTGCCTTCTTAAGTCTGGGCCCTATAAGGTTCAAGCTCAGGAGCTGAAAGCTGTCACCATGTTAGCCACAAGGAGCCTGACTCCAGAGGGGGCAGGAAGTCATTTGGTGACGTTGCTAAGTCTCAAGTATAGCAAAGACTAATATCTCCAACCTTGTAGGTAGTTAGTACCTCCAGGATCAGTGACGTTTCCCGCTGGGGCTGCAGGTCAAAATGCGGATTTCATGAATGTTACTATCATATAAAATTTTGGAGTTGAACCAAGGAAAGGACGGACCGGGAAATGTCATTTTTCAGTTGTTCGTGCTGTGTTTTGTTATATACCTGTTAGTGGTTTTTTGCTTATAAGAGAACACGGACGTTATTTTAATGGAAGTCCTGTTAAAAATGTTGACATGGACCCAGTCAGATCAGTGTGTTGCATGTGCAGTGAAGGCTGCAATGGGCAAAGGAGGGAAGGGGGGGCGGCGTGGTGAAGAAAAAGCTTGCCCACAGCAGCTTCAGGAGGACCAGGGGAGGCAGTGAAGGAGTGGGGAGGAAAGGGAATCAGTCTTCATTCTTCCTTTACCTCCACCCTGCCCCCTGGGTACCCCACACTGTGCCCCACACTGCTGGGCACCTGTTGGTCACACCTGCTGGGACGTCATTCTTAGCAGGGCAATTAGGCTGCTTGCTGCTTATTCTGCACATTTTGGCTTCTCTTCTTTATGGGATGCTGAATTAGACGTACGATAAGAGTACCCGGTGGGAAGGCCCATTGGTTGATTTCACTCAATTCCTCCATCAACAGATACTTATGGAGTAACAATGGTGTGTGCAGCGTGGGGCAAATTGCTAGGAAAAGAGAAGGGAGGTGGGGAAGAAGATGGCAGGTGCGCGGGCCCTGGGGAGGTCGACATGCTATACCTAGAACTCAATGTGTATGAGACAGAAAAGAACAGGTACTTCATCGTTTTAAAAAATGAATCCTTAATAATCTCACTCTTTAAACTTTAATTCTGCAAGAGATGTTAAATAACCCAGATCAGGGCTGCCCATGTCATTGCCCTCCAACATGGCAAATCACCAGCTGGCTTCTGACCCAAAACTTCAGAAAAGGAGTCCTTTAATCTTTTCTAATTATAAATCAATAGATTCCAATCTTCCTGCCGTGTAGGAATTACTTGGAACATATGTTTTGGGAAAAGAAGAACAACATGAGGTAGTGGGGAGGGATTCACTCTTTTTCTAATGTTTGACTTGTTTTTTATACTTTTTTTGAACTCTACTTCTTTTTTTTTTTTTTTTTAAAGATTTTATTTATTTATTTGACAGAGAGAGAGACAGCGAGAGAGGGAACACAAGCAGGGGGAGTGGGGGAGGGAGAAGCAGGCTTCCCGCCGAGCAGGGAGCCCGATGCGGGGCTCGATCCCAGGACCCTGGGATCATGACCTGAGCCGAAGGCAGACGCTTAACGACTGAGCCACCCAGGCGCCCCTCTACTTCTTTCTTTAACTTCTTTCCTCATACTTTTCCTTGAAAAACTATGGGAATAACTTTCAGTCGACACACCTGCCCTCTGGAAAGTGTAAGCAGATAAAAAAAGAATGCAGTAGTTAGGATAAATTATTACATCTATTTTCACAGAACTGATTTTAGAAGCTCAGAGCTACTTCTGTACCTTCAACCATGAACCTTTGGCCCTCCACCAGTATCTGCCCAGAAACAGAGTTAATCAGAGCTTCTTTGGAGTCTTCACTGGGGAGAACTCATTGACCAATTCAGCTACATCAGCAGTCTTGTTTGGCTGTGGTTAATATACATATTTTGGCACAGCAGCTCTTTGGTCCCCGTCTCTGTGCTAAGCAGGCTTGATTTGATGTTCATTTTCTTGAGGCCAGTGTTTTAAAACATTTCTTTCTTTCCCTTCATCATAGATCGGTAGAAGATGAGGAGAGACCTTTCGCGCTGGGAATGCAGTTTGTTTTATTGCGAACACTTGGTACGTTCCTGAATTTCCACGTGTGCCTCTTAGTTCCTCTTTACAGATGGCAGATTCTCACTGTCCTTTAAAAATGGCAAGTCAATCACTTGTTACCATTAGTAGTAGCTAGGATTTTATGGGTTAACGGAAGGACACAACTTCCTTATTTTCTGATTTGAACTAGAAGCTACCCAGTTCTGTGCTTTGATGAAACAGAACACACCTGACTTTAGAACAGTTTCTTTTTCACTCTGAACCTAAAGTGAAAGTGGGCTAAATTCCCCAGAGCGTTTTTGGTACGGTAAGAAATATTGAACCAAGCAATTGTAATGGGCTTAAGATCCTGGCATTTTTTTCCCTTTATGTCTTTTTAACATGAAAGTGATGGAAATCAGCACTCGTATTATTTGCGAAAATTTTAATTCCTTACCTCTTTACAATAATTTTATTGGGCCGGGCAAAAGTATACCTATCAAGTTTTCTGAAAAGAAAAAAGAAAGATCCTCAAATGATACATGAGGATACATGAGGAGTCCTCTTTACTGATTAACAAGAGAAGCTCATTAGCACTGTCAAGATATTGCAGAGTTCATTAGGGCATGAAGAACGTCGTTCTGATTTTGGCAAACACTGTATCACTCTGTCGTGTTTTGGGACAATGCATGGGAAATATCATGTGAAGTAGCCCATTGCCTTGATCAATTTCAGTGTATTTATAATGGACTTCCCCATCATCAAGCATATTTTTTCTTTCGCAAGTGGAAGTCTGTCATTTTCTTGAGCTGTCGTTTCTTCCAGTAATCAGTATCATTGTCCACAGGACAAAAAAAAAAAAAATAGGTTTTTTGATTTAAATTTTTAATTTCCATTTTGAAGGGTGAAACACTTTAAAATGGTATCATCTGACCCTCTGAAACATTAATCTTCACTGGAATTATCAATTTATTTTTTATAACTTTTTTTATTATGTTATGTCAATCACCATACATTACATCATTAGTTTTTGATGTAGTGTTCCATGGTTCATTGTTTGCGTATAACACCCAGTGCTCCATGCGGTAAGTGCCCTCTTTAATACCCATCACTGGGCTCACCCATCCCCACCCCACTCCCCTCTAAAACCCTCAGTTTGATTCTTGGATGAACCATGAGAGATTATGGATTCCTGGAATTCTCAATTTGTCATTACATTGCAGTTGGTGGCCCAGTCTGGGAGTAGGAACTGTCTGGTCATCCTCAGAGGCTTCTAGTTGCATTGAATGAGTGGCTTGTTTTGTTTTGTTTTGTTTTGTTTTTGGTACTGATAAAACTTCGAAGGTCCCATTTTTCAAAGGCAGCTGGTGAAAGGAAATTCTGACATGCTTTGATTTTGTTAAGAAGCTTGCCTTATACTTCTGTTGAAAACTAAAAAGTTGTTTTCAAAGAAGGAAATTTGTTTAGCAAAGGGGTGGTTGAATAGGAAAAGAAAAAAATAGGTCCTCCTTTTTGCTCTGCTTGTCTTTGATGCCATGGAGTTGGGGTGGTTTCATATGGAATTGGAGGTGAAGGTAAGTCAACAAGAGGGATGTCACAGTGTCAGGAGTAAGTGGAAGGAGGACATTTCAGTCATCTATTATTTAATTCAACCTTGACTTAAGTTCTGTTGATTATGAAAAACTAGAGTTGGGCGAACAAACCAATTTCCATTTCCCCAAATTCCAAAGCAAAAAGAGAGTTTTAAGTGTTTTAGTAATGTCAGCTTTTAATTGTAGTGAACACACCTCATTTGAAACGAATATAACATATTTAAAAATACATCGCTTAGTCCACTGTCTACCCTTCCTTCCTCTCTTCTTTTCTTCTTCCTTTTTTCCCTTGTTCCTTCCCATCACTTGCTTTTATAAACTCTTATTGAGGTTCCATGGGCTGTCCTGAGGGGTCCTTGGGACGCAAGGAATAAAAGGCATGGCCTCTGCCATCAAGGAGCTTACGGGTGACAAATCTGCAAACACTTTCATGCTACGTGATAGTTGATACAATGAAGGTGTATACAAAATGCAGTGGGAATACAGTGGCATCCGAGTGAGTGAGGAATTTAAAGGAGGGGTAGATAATAGCAAGGTGAACAATTTTGGGGATGGGGACACATTTCAGCAAAGGGAGTAACGTATGGTGAAGGAAGTCTACTTGGGTAGACTTTCTTTCTTATGGGAGTAAAGAAATATCTATCTCACAGCCCAAACAATGAAGCTACTACTCATCACGGATGTTTCACAAGCTTCAAAGATGAATTTCCTGCCTTAGTTATTTCTATGCTCCAAATGTCTTTATACAGTTTTCCATTTGATGTGGTTTCTGGCTTAGAGGGGACAGTGTTTTCCTCATACTCTTCCTGCACCTGAGGACTAGAACCCAACCCATAAGAACTAAGTATACTGAATTTTAGTGGTTTATAGGGGGTCATATAGTCTCTTGAGTATTTAATGGCAAAATTTGATTTTTAAGTTTAAAAGGATTGCCTAATTGAGTTTTTAAGCAATCGACATTTTTACAATCTCAAAATCCATAGCGTATTCTGACCGAGTTGCAAACTGGAAGATTTAAAGTATTTATAACTTAGTGAATGTTTTTATAATAAATATATTATGATAAGATGTGACATATTTAAAACAGTCAAGTAACACAAGAAAACCACTGCCCTCCACTGGTTCTAGAGGGTTCTAATTTACAAATCTGTTTTCTCTGATAAGATGGGCTAAATATTGTTCTTTTTCTTTTTCTCTACAATGCTAGCATACATTCCTACTCCAATTTACTTTGGAGCAGTTATTGACACCACCTGCATGCTCTGGCAACAGGAATGTGGAGTGCAAGGCTCTTGCTGGGAGTACAACGTGACATCATTTCGTTTTGTCTATTTTGGTTTGGCGGCCGGCCTCAAATTTGTTGGCTTCATTTTTATTTTTCTGGCCTGGTACTCCATTAAATACAAGGAGGACGAGCTGCAGAGGCAGAGGTGGAGAGAATTTCCTCTGAACACAGTGAGCGAGATGGTGGGCCACACCGACAACGCCAATAAGGGTGCCCGGACTAGATCTTGTCCAGCTTTCAGCAGCCAGGGGGATTTCCCTGAAGAGACTGGTCTGCAGAAAGGGATCCAGTACACAGCACAGACCTATCCGGGGCCCTTCCCCGAAGCAATAAGCTCCTCCCCAGACCCGGGGCTGGAAGAAAGCCCTACTGCCATGTAGCCTCCCTCCTGAAGCTTGAAAATGGAAGACTTTAGTTTTGTTGGTTGAGTTGAATATGGCAACTTGAGAAACACCTGTGCCTTCTTTTCTTTCTTTCTTTTTTTAACCTCTAAAGACACAATCCTCAAACCAACAAAACTCAGTATACACAGCCACTATTGATTGAGGGCTGGATACCTCAACAAGACTGAGAGCCTTTCCCCCCCTTCTCTTCAAGAAGGAGGAGTTTAGATAGATTTGTTACCATTTCCGCTATGTTAATTTCATGCTCGTGCTCCAATGTGGTATAAGGCTGAGAGGTGCCTGGTTAACAAAATCACGGGAAGTGTCCTGGCTGTACATATCATTACCATACACTCCAAACAAAGGTGAGCTTGACCATGACTTTGCATTTACAAATCAGAGTTTTTAGATATGAACACCTACTGTGAGTTCTGCTACAAAGCACAAATGAATTTGCCTCAACTATGCAATTTTGATTGGGAAAATGTAAGTGCAGCATGTTAACTTTTTCTTTCAAGAGACTAAAGCAGATACGTTTTGAAAAGAGGACAATAAACTTTCCCTGAAGTACTGTTAATAGCATTTTAAGCCATAGCAGAGTTATAAATCAGGTAGAATCTTTCAAATGCTTCAAAGGAATTATATGCATAGTGTGACAAAAGGAACAGCTACTTTATTTCATAAGACATATTCTCTTCTAGTCTGTCTGCCCCATCATAAGGTAAAGAGTCTGCTGAATCATAAAATCTGATAGCTTGAATATAAACTCCAGTATTCTTTTGCCAGGGGCTTTAAAACTAGTGTGCTAAACAATATGGCTAGAACCTAATTTGAGATGCATCATAAGGAGAGAAACTGATAGCTTTCTCATCCAGAGAAAAATGCTGCAGAAATTCTTTTAGCTCTCATGGGCCCACACAAGGGTAGCTAAGAATTGTAACCTTGACACTCAAAATAGTTGAAGAAAGAAATTCCAGAGGTAAGATTGAGTCCCATCTGATTGCTTTAGTTATACGCCTGGAAACCCTAGCAAATCTGTATCACTTTCTTTCTTATGTACAGAAAATTGCCGTGGTTGGCCCCTGAAGTTGAGTAATTAAATCAGGAAACCTATACCTGTGATGTGAAAATCACTCTGAATACAGGAGGAGGGAGATCTGTGAGCTATGAGAGTATGATCCTAAGTCATGATTGAAAATTATTTAAAATCAACTTGCCTGTCATACTGAATTCCACTTTATCAGAGTTAGAACAATTTTGCATCTCTCTTTGATTCCTTCCTCCTGTTAACCTTCCCGAAGCAATTCTGCGAGAGGATTTTTCTGTTCCTAAATGCACTTTGGGTTCATTATCCATCATCCTTTTCAGTTCCTGCCAGCACATCCCTTTGACCTAGGTGCCACACAGAATGCTTTCTACATGATTCTGAAGGTAGATGCTTCCCAGCTGCACTCTGGACTGATAGCAGGTTAACTCTGGGATCTTGGCTGCTCAGAAAAAGAATCCTTGACAACCCGGACTTAGGAGGTACTGTAAGGTCCAAATACCAATATAATTGTGAACAGTTTCTGCCAAGGAGCCTATGCTTATGTAGGGGCTAATTTGGGAACTGATTTCCTTAGCTGGCTTACACTCTTCCACAGAGGGGACATGAGGGACAGAACTGTCCCATGATTCAGGCTTGTTGCCCTTCATCCTTGGAGACACTGGTGGAGTTGTGTGAACAGTTCAAGGTGGTTTTCCTCTCCACCTAAGAACGGTATTGTCAAATGGTTCTTTTGGTGGCATGCAGTTTTTGGAGAGGGTTATCACTATTAGACCGAATAATGTCTGTAAGGGGTTGAGCCAGTGGACAGGTAACAAGGACTTCCTTTGGAGCGGTCTCATTTGGCTGAGTCATAAGTGTGCTGTTGCCTGTAGTTACTCTGGTGTCTGTCCAACTTCCCTCCATGTGGTATATATTGAAGGTCTTCAGAGAATATTGTTGATTAACTTAGTGTCTACTCTGCTGCCTCAGGGTTCCCTTTCACTCTCTATGGGAGATCTTTGATCCTTTAGATCCTTTAGAAAGTTTCCTTTTTTGTTGGAGCTAAAGATATACAGGATGGGGAGAGGTGGTATTTTCTTAGTTCTCCTCTAATTGCTAAAGAACTGCATTGAGAGAATTTGGGCGGGATTAGCACCTTTTTTTTTTTAAAGCTAAGATTGTATGTTCCAACACTCTTAGAATCTCTCTCTTCTTGGTAGTATATTTTGAAAAGGAGCTGCTCTCAGAACTCCAGGGTAGGAAGTGACAGACTCTTCACATATAATTAGACGTCCCCTTTCTCTACCCTGAACAGTCATCCATCCAGTTCAGCAACCATTGACCAGTTCTCTATCAGGCACTATTTTAGCCAATTACCATCTGCTGCTCTATGAAATTCTTTAGGTTGACCTGCCAAAATTCAAAGAAATTGGCCTGAATTGTACACCACAATTGTTAATATTGTACTTCCTCAAGTATGTGATACTTATAAATAGCAGGTGTATCATTAATGTGTTGTTGGTTCATGTAGAATAAGTAATGAAAAATCACAGAAGACTGAAGTTTTAGAATACATACCAATTAAGAATTGTCCCCAAAATGCTTTGGGTCCTGGTAGTATCCTTGGAATATTGCATAGTCAACTAAAGTGACAATTTTATAAATGGCACCATTTAATTGTAGATATGAGGTTCTTATATGTTTGTTACTTCATGGTCATAGCTCCCCTTATAAGTTTAATTCCCACTTTCCATGAACTTAGGCTTCTAATTATTTGTTTTGGAAAAAAGGTCACCTTGTTCTTTTATCAACTCTGTAGATTAATGTATTAATAATGTATAACTATTGTAAGTTTAATTCCCACTTTCCATGAACTTAGGCTTCTAATTACTTGTTTTGGAAAAAAGGTCACCTTGTTCTTTTATCAACTCTGTAGATTATAATATATTATTTGGCTTTAATATGCAAATATAATATCTATGAGTCTAGCCTATTAATTTAGAAACACCCAGGGGGAAGGTGGGTGGTTGGAGCACATTTTTTGTTATCTTCATTAGTATGAAGTCCTTATCCTTTGTAGGTAGATTTAATTCTTGAAAACATTCAAAAGTCAATCAGAACTAAGTTGGGGGGGGAAGGAGGAGCAGAGAAGAAACAAATAATCTTTTGTGGAGTGTTGACTATTTCAGAGAATTTTGTCAAGCACTTAATATACATCATTTATTTTAATACTGTTAATAACTTTGCAAGATAACTATTTTTATTCTGTTTTTTTTTAAACATCATGAAAACTGAGGCTCAGAGAGGTAAAGAGATTTGTTTAGGATTGTACAGAGTGGCCATTAGGGTTCAGAAGCAGGTTTCTGTCCCCATCACTCGCTTCTTACACTATATGATGCCTACAATGGTTTTGGTTAACAAAGACAAGTGTGATTATAATTTAGTGAGGTAAAGCATTTCATTTTTTGCTTTCTGAAGAGTAGAGAAGTTATTATTCCTTTGTGTAGAATAGAAAAAAAATCTGTAGGAAACATCAAAATTTAATGTTTAGATTTTCAAGGTAAATTTACATTTATTTAAGCGTTATATTCAAAGTTGTCATAACATACCTCAAGTATTTATTTATAGTTCATATTTAATATAGAACAAATCCAATTTTGATGTTAGCATTGAGTCTCTGTAGAATTTCTGAAATGAATCATGAGGAAATGTGGTTCAGATTTACTGAATCTGAGCTCTGGGGATTTTAAATGTATGCTTTCTTTTTTGTGTTTTCCTCTTTCAGAATGTTAACATTTCCATTAATTTTTAGTGAATATGGGTTTTAAATTTCCTAAATAAAAGTTTTAAATGAACATATACAAAGTGCTACATGTTAAATGAACATAGACAAAATGTTACATGTTATGTACCAAACAACTGGTGCGATTGTTGCTGTCAGTCGCTGTGCTGTTGTCACAAACGGGAGCATGCACTTGGAAATGCAGCCATCAGAGAAAGAGGAAGTCATAATGACCATCCTGCATTTTCACCAAACTACCAAGAAAATTCTTCCTCCATCTGCAATTCCAGCTTGCATTCTTTGGTGGACGTGGAACCAGAAAGTTTCTTTTTGGAGCCTGTTTTGCATCAACCAAAGAGCAGCTGCATGGTTTTTGAATGGACCTGAAGCATTTGTGGAAATTCTCTGGTGTGCCCAGGAGCAGTAGGAGAGCCCAAGTCTAGGGGGGCAGCCAATTATACTTTTAGCATGTGTGGACTTCAAACATCCTCGATGGTGCAGAAACACGAGTCTATTGCTATAGAGGTGCATCTGGAGTCTTCTAAGTAGCAGATAGATATCAAAATACTGTATAATCCCAGAATTGCCTAGACTGCAGGTTTGCTAGTTCTGTTCTCCAGACCATAGGTAGCCTCTCCACGTTATTTGTAATTCCTCTTTCCTGGCATAGAAGGGCGTGCCGTGGCGGGCAGGCGAAGGTAGTAGTCTTGTGCACTTTATCTTTTCCGTTTTCTCTCCTTTCCTCATCTTCCAGGATGCTGCTGGCTGTGTCTGTCCCAGGCTTCTTGCTACATTGGAATCAGATCTGTGTTATGTTTAAACAGGTTCTTTTAAGCACTTCATTTTTACTCAGCCCTAAGAAGGGTCAAATATGATGAAAACCCTCTTTGGGTATTTGCTTTTGCAACATTAAAAAAAAAAAATGCCTCGGTGCTAAAAGTATTTGATGATGCATGCTCACCACACAAAATGTAACACTGAATTTACAGTGTTTCACTGGCAAGGGACTGCATGTGCTTTGCTTTTGGAAATCTAGAGAGCTTCCCAGAAAACAAGCACTCATTATTGTCATTACTGCAGTTAATCCATGTACTTTACACTGCAAACATGAGGACTGTAAGGAAGAGTACCTTTTCTATGGAAAACTCAGTGCTTTTGATATTTCTTTTAGCAAGAATAATCAGATGCTACAAATAATTT